ACTGTTTGGGTTTATTGTACAGTTTTGAATATAATATTAAATATATGTAATAAAATATGAGGGGTTCCTTAAGGAAAAAGGTTGGGAACCACTCATTTAGACCGTTCATCCTGTTTTTTTAACTAGTTATTATTTAGTGGTCTTCATTATTCTGAAACCAGAACACAACAAATGTTTAAAAACTGTTAATATTATTAAAGTTTTATACCATAGGTATCTATTTTTGTTAAACTAACCCAATATTGGCCTATCACAGACATGTCAGTATAGTATCGGTGTGTATGTTATCTGATACAAAAACATACACACAAAAAAAATGCTTGTAGTTAACTTACATAAAGATGAGGTAATCATGCATTGGAACAGTCCAATAAATCCAATAAACCCATAAAGTAATCCATAGGAAGACGAGGCAGCAGCCAGAGAGCAACACATGCAAACAAACAGAATGAAGGAGACACAGGAAATATATATACTCTAGTCAGGGGAAACTAATTAGACACAGGTGAACACAATCAACAATCAAAAGAGACAAACACAGGAAGTAAAGTAGAACAAGACTACAAAATAAAACAGGAAATGCAAAACCTTTCTTCAGCCAGTTGACGTAATGACTTTTACACATTACTGTATCTAAAGACTTTCCCTACAAATGTTTCATAAGTCCACAACATATTAATAATATAATATAAACTTTGTTTCTCTCTCTCTGTCCTATATTTCTTCTTTTTTGGTGTTTACTGTCCTAAATCCTAACAACACATCTTAATAAAATAAGTAAGCTAATATAACTTAAGCCTTCAAAAAATTTAATGAAATAAACCCAACTTAAAAAGTAATTGTTGAAGTAATAACTCAGTTGTTTCGAGTGAACTTAAATTTCTGTTTGTTCCATTGACTCAAGTTGACTTTACAAAAATGTAAGTACAAAAACCCTAAAAATGTATTTGCGACCATTTTGATTATTTATTAATTATAAATTGTTTGTTTTTTTATGGAATACGTGAGCTGTTTTAACAAGAAAGGTTTAATGGTAGAAAGATAAGTTCATTTAACTCAAACAATTGTGTAAACCTAAAGTAAAATTAACTAAATTTAAGCTAAAAAAACATTCTTGATTAATTAGCTGTAGTCATTTTAAGTGAGAATGACCCTAAAAACAAAATACCTAGTAAAAAGTTATTAATCAAGAATGTTTAGTTCCACTTAAAATTATTAGTAAAAGTGTCAACAAAAAAAAGTGTTAACAATGTTTTGAGTTAAATTAACTTGAACAATGTGAGTAAATTCAATTTAAGTGGTAACATTTGAATAAAGAAGATGCATTAATTCAGATAAATAACACATTTAAAATAAGTTTGGAGAAATGCTGCATAGTTTTAAGTTCAATTAACTTAATTAAATTGGTACAAATAATTTAATTTACCCTTAGTTACGTTAACAATAAATATTTGAGTTGCTTTTACTCAAATCAAATATTTTTTAATGCTTAAATTGTCTTAATTAAATGGGTTTCCTCAAACAATTTGAGTTGATCTGGTTTTACAGTGTAGTTTTAATTACTTGACAGGAGAGGTCAAAACAGACAATAAATGACCATAAATGAACATTAAAGTTCACCAGAGGACAATGATCATACAGTGAATACAGATGTTTTAAATAATTTTGCCGTGGAGTATTTTCATACACTGGCCTGTTGTAATGTAATTAAAGAGTCTTTTTCCATCAATGTGAATAGACGTAGCAAGAAAATCACAGGGCTAATTATTAACAATAATTAATCATGTATGTGTTCCATTTAAATCAGCCATAATTATTAATTATATCTGTACTTCTTGGGGGAAACGTTAACCGAGCCATATGCAGTTTTTAATGAAAGGTCAAATGTCAGCCTCATTTATTAGTTTATGTGTCGAGCCAGTGGAAAATCCAGTCCAGATAAGCCAATAAATAGCAATCAGATCCTCATTTATAACGACCTGCGACTCGAACCTTATCTGACAGTTACTATAAACAGTCCGGTGGAAAGATGCCCACATAATCTGATCAGAGCAAAGTGATCTGAGTCGGCTGCATCCTGTGTGGGCGCTAAAGGGACATTCTGTGGCTTCATTTCCATCATCAGCTTCAGTAATTCAGCTTAAAGATGAGTGATTATCAATGATGTATACACATTTGTTATCACATTTGAAAGGGGCTATACATACAACAATAAAAACAACATCCACAAATATAATAATAATATATCACCTGAATGCTACAGTTAAAAGAAATGGATAAATGGTTGAAAACTGTAGCTAAAAGGGATGTTTAAAAGCCAAAGTTTATGGTTGAATTGGTCAACAAAAAGTTTAAATAGTTAATGGGTAAATTCTTGAAATAGACGCCCTAATAGAAAAACTAAAAGTTGGTAAACTGTTGAATTAGCTAGCTATGTTAGAGTTGAAATAGTTAGACATAATATGCTAAATGGTTAAAATTGTTATAGAAAAGTAATGGATAAAGCTAGATTAATGTAGATAGTTAAAGTAATACGTTATTAAAACTGTAACGAAGTCTATGATTAAATGTTGAAATAGTTAACTAAAAGTAAGGGATACATAGTTGAAATAGCTAAACATATAAAATGGTTTAAATAGTAGGCTAATAAATAGGCAAGGTGATAAATAGTAACTAAAATTAATTAATTTTAAGCTAGTGTGTCATAAAATAGCTATAGTTCTGTAAAATTAATAAATAAACGGTTCACATAATTAGCGAAAAGTAGGCCCGATTGATAAAACTGTTGGAAACTGTTAAAAAGATTGACATAGTTATCTAAAAGTAATGGATAGACAGTTTAGCTAAATGTAGATAGTTAAAAGTAATGTAAAAGTAAAACGCTACATTATTAAGATACAATAAAAAACTACACTATGGTTAACTGTTGAAATAGCTAAAGTGAGAGATAAATAGTTGAAACAGCTAAGCTAGTTCAAATAGTTAGCTAAAAGTATAAACAGTTAAAAAAGTAAATAAAGTCAGCTAAAGTTGCCGTACAATGGATAAACAGTTTAAATAGCTAAAATGGATGAATAGCTGTAATAGCTAAAGGATAAATGGTTGAAATAGCTTGTTGATAAATTGAAATTAGTGCAAAAAAAGTGCACATTAACAGTTGTATGAGTAAAATATTGTAACATTATGCAAATATAGTTATAAATAAAAATGGACATATTTGGATCATGACGAGTGATTGAATTAATCTAAGAGGGCTGAAGGAGGGAAACCACGATGTCCCATAAACATCATTCATCTTTTCTTTTTCTTCTTCCAGAGTTCACGGTTCTTACGTGAACCCACGAACGCCTCACAGATGTTCAAAAACTCAAATATTTTGCTTTATTTGAAGTGCTGTCTTTACATTCCCGGGCCAAATATAGCTATAGGACGACGGATGTATAGGAAAGGGCTGTGGAAAAATATGAGAAAGACATTCAGGAAACCTGCGCAGTATGTAGATACTGTCATTAACGTTTCTAAGATTTTATTTAATTAATGCAGGTGCATTATTGATCTTGCCTTATAAAACTCACAGTTTTGGATGTATTTTTGGGGTAAAACACTTGTTTGCCTTCTTTTGCAGAGGAAAGATTGATCACTCTCATGTCTGCTGGAGCCAGCAGCTGGTTAATTATAACAATTACAGTGCGCGCACACACACACACACACACACACACACACACACACACACAATCATCATAATGGGTTTTCCATAAGAGATATTGTCAGTGTTCACAGTGAGGCTGCTTTTCTTAACACTGAACACAAGAACACAGACAGATGTTGGTGTTTTAAGACCCTCATCGACCCATCAGCTGCATGCAAGGTGCAAAAAAAACATTTAGCTGCTAACTTATCATGTTCAAAAGATAAATAACAATAATAACATTTAGATTCATAAGCAAGAAGCACAAATAAAATGCAGCAATGATGGATTACAGGGTACTTTTTAAAAGCAAAAGTATAGAAACTAATTATAAAAAAAGCAATACATGTACACAAGGGAGCGATATTAAAGAAATACAATAAGATAGAGTCGTACCAGAGAGCCAAGGAGACATTAAACACCAAAAACAATAAAGCAGTTTCATCTTTTAAAATTAGCATTTAAGAGATAGTCTGCGAATAATGAAACAATCCTGTGGACGTTTTTATTTAAGGGTAAAAGTATGGAACCAGTTCACAGTGAGGTCTGCGGTTTGTTGTTCTTCGAGCCTCCGAGCACTGCAACGGGGGAGCGTTTCATTTAAATCACTGAACAACAACACAGAGGGGAAAACAAACTGCTGGTTTTTAAGGATTAACGTGGATAACGACGCCTTCTAGTGGTTAAAGGACGCAACTGGGCGACATCTGGAGCCAGATGTTCAGTATAAATCACACATTAATTAGGTCATTTAATCCAATTTAAATCAATAAAATGTTATTCCTGATTTTGTCACTGGACAAAAAAGGAAGTAAATCACTATATTGTTGTTTAAAAAAGAGATTTTACCGAACTATTATTACTTATTATCATGGTTTTATTCTTTTATGTAGATTTATATCTTTTATTCTGCTCATTTTAACTGTTTTTATCTATATTTGAGCATGAAATTATCTTTTTAATTTGTGAAGTCTAATGAAAGTAGATTAAAAGTTGAATTTTAGTGAAATAAATGTCATCAACAAACTCTTTAGTTTCTTTCTTTCTTACATAAATCATATTCATTCAGTTTGGTTTTACTCCATATTTTTCCCCTGGTCAACATTAAGCTGACTGCAACAGATGGTTTGTTACACAGAACCAGAAAAAATGTCTCAAAATCAGTAAATAAAACAGTAATATTGATTTCTGTCACCTTTTTCTATTGAATGCTTCACTAATGAGCCAAAATAATGTTTTTGAGTCCAAATATATTCATTTGATGTTAAATCTTTAATACTAAAATGATCATAAATGTAAATAAAAGTAGGATTTCTGCCTTTTATTGAACTTATGACAAACACGATGCCAGAAAACCCCAAAATGAGAGTTTAATTGTACATTTTATCATTTACAAAATACAAGAAACACATTTAAAAACAATTCTTACACTTAAAACAAAAGAGTCTCCATAGAAATGATAGAAAATGTTTGTGAGCTGCTGTTCAGGTTTGTACAATGTTTATTTATAAAGGTTTAGTCTGTGAGGATTAAAATTTTATTGTGAAAGGGTTCATCCTGCAGCTGAACAAACTGGAACATTGACAGGAAAAAGTAAAAGACCCAAAATCTTCACAAACAATCCAAAACAATCAGTTTTAAACACTTTATCACATTTGAGCTTCTCTCGCTGCTTTTTTGCCAGCAACACTTTGTGAATTTCAACTTCATGTTGATAAAGAAAAGACTCCTGTAATAAAAATAAAACGTTGTTGTGAAAGAAAACTTTATGAAAAATGTATAGAATTTAAGAAAAGCTTTTTTTAACTTACAAAACTGATAGTTCGCTGCTAATATCGGAGTTCCCTCCATCGCTTCACCCGCAAAAAAAAAACGGAACAAAACATTTGGGTACATTTAGAAATAACATGTATTTACTTTCTTACCGAGAGTTAGGCAAGAAGATCGATACCACTCTTATGTCTGTGTGCTAAATATGTAGCTGGAGCCAGCTTAGCTTAGCATAAAGCTGGGTAACAAAAGGTAACAAATCCACCTACCAGCACTTCTAAAGCTCACTGATTACAGAAACAAGATATAAGATGTTAAATAGTTAGTTTTAGACATGTTGGACACAGATGGTTCCAGGTGTTATGCTAAGCTAAGCTAATGGGCTGCTGGTTGTAGCTTCACCACATATGCAAGTGTGGTATCAATCTTCTCGTCTAACCTTCGGCAAGAACGCGACAACGTGCGTTTCTGAAAACGTCAAACTATTTGTTTAAGGATGTCTTGTAGAACAAAAACAACAACACCGAAACAACAAACAGCGATTGTGGGATAGTTTTAGTCTTCCCAGGCGAAGTCGAACGGCTGGAAACTGTCTCTTAGCTGTTTGCAGCTCTCCTCCTCTTCCTCTCTGCTCTGTTTACACTCTTTCCAGTCTGCTCGAGTCGGGATGTTCAGCAACGCGTCGCTGGCCAGAACCTCCCTACAAACACACAAACATCTGTATTATATAGTTCATAAGGCAGCAGGTTACAAACACTGCAGGTGTGCTGGGAAATACATGACTGCTTCACTACAAGGCCTAAAGTAAGTGACCATACGATCCTAAATAATTCAGACAGGTTTGACATTACAGGCGGAGGTGAGGGAAGTTAATATTCACTCTGCTCTTCTGTAATTTCACACATTTTAACCATCAGGAAATTACAGTCTGTAATGGACATGGACATTTACTGGATCACGTCTCTCAGGGAGGGGCACTCGTCTGTGATTTTTAATCCCGTCCGGAGCGCATAAGTGGGTAATTTTTCACCTCCACCCCAGTAATTATTACAGCTGAAATTACCTCCTGTTTTTTCTGGAACCCACTGATCCCGTCATGTAAATCCTGTTCCGAGCAACTTCCTTGTGGATCTCTGAGGTTTTTATTCACTTTATATATTTTTTTTAATCAACCAAGTATGAAATTTGACTTTTGTGCGAAAATGGAGGAACTCAGATATATTTTTTGCTCATCTGATATAGTTGGAAACATGCCAACACCAACATATAGTGGGGGAACCAATGTCAGCTTAGTGCCTAACTGTCTTCTGAGCCCCATTTTTAAGCCTATATTCACATTTTTTGGCAAACTGACGCCATTAAAAGTAAGCTGAATTAGCCGTTAGCAGCTCCTGTTTGCAGTGTATTTATAGACAGACAGACAAATATCACCGGATTACTTTGAGCCTGAAGAAAACTTTAAAATGTGATAATTCTCAGGCAAGTTCTGAGCTTGAGACGTAATTACGTAACATTTTTTATTATGTAATCATATCCTACGGTCATTATAAACTATTGATGAACTAGGATTGTTTTTAGAATACGGATTAATATCAGACAATAATAACTAATAAAGTATTTTCTTAAATCTTTAACTTTACATTTAAGTTTGTATCTTTCATAGCTGATTTTCCCGCTGCAAGAGTTCAAATCAAGCAGAATTTATTTTATTGTACAGAAAATTCATCTTCTAGCGTATTAAAAGGAGATAAAATAAAATGAAAGTTTTCCAGGACAATGTTGATTATTTCCAGGATATTTTGTAATTTTAATCAATTCTCAGGCTTTTCCATGATTGGTGTCTAAATTTCCAGGTTTTCCAGGACGTAGGAATCCTGTGCAGTGCTTTTACTTTTAAGTAATATTATGACCTGCTAGTTTTTAGGTTGTAACCTTTGTTTTTTTTACATTATTTCTCTCCCTGCTGTTCTTTATTTGTATTTACTTAATTTTTATTGTTGTATTCATTTTGTATGAAAGGTGTTGTATAAATAAAGTTTTGTGCTGCTTACCTTCCAAACTGCAGAGGAAAATGTTTCTGGATGCGGTAGTAGAGTTTCTCCCCCGAGTCCAACTCCACGTAGAAGTACGGAGTCCCTGGAGGAGCAATCTGAATACACACAGTTTTAATATTGACTTTATCGTTTTCAGCTGTCACCTACAGTGTGTGTGTGTGTGTGTGTGTGTCGTATACGTACCTGTTTGAGGTCGGTGTGTTGAGGAATCTCCATCAGCTCCATCTGCTGCTCCTGAGCCTGGACCATGAACGCCTCCTTGATGTCCTCCGTGGAGCAGCGGTCCAGCGGCACCGGGACCACCTGAACAGAAAACGTGCCTCTTTTCAGCAACGTTGGTGAATATTTTATACTTTTAAAAGGACATCTTGAGTGTTTTCTACCTGCAGCTGCAGGTGTTGGCTCCTGTAGTTCCTCTCAAACACCACGCAGCGCTCCCCTTTGCTCTTGTAGAAGCTCTTCAGGGCCGACTTGTACTTCTCCATCTCCTCCACCACATCCGAGCTCAGGTCCACCACGGACTGGTAGTGACCAATGGGGAGGATCAGCATGTGGTGAGGAGTCAGGCCGCCTTTCGCCATCGCCAGGTAACACTGTGAACAGAAAGTGTGACTTACTATCATATGACGCTGTCAGTTGAGGCCCTGTGTATTTAATGTCCACTGTATGAACTCACATGTGTTCCTATGCTGATGACGAGGTGTTTCTCCACCTGAGGACTGGCCAGACAGAACCAGCAGGGACCAGTGGGCTGAGCTGCAGCAATATAGAGAGGAAATATTAAAGAAAACCACTCAATCTGGTAGTTTATTTGCACCATTTCTACCATTTTAGCACGCTAAAGCTCCATGTTAGTCCTTTCTTTGTGTGTGTGTGATGTTTGTTTCTATTTAAAATTTCAATCTCAAATAAATAAAGCTGAGTTTGGTGCATTTTCATCTGTTTTTCTTGTGTTTTTAGTGTATTTTTCATGTTTTTGTAAATTTTTCATGACTTTAGAGTGTTTATTTTTTATTTTTCATGCTTCTCTTGTGTTTTAAGTGTATTTTTTGTGCATTTTTCATGTTTTTAGTGTGTTTTTCATTGGGTTGAGCTGGAACCCTAAAGCATACCCTGCTTTATGGTCTATTTTACTCTAAATGGGACCATCAGTTACTAAATGAACTTTATGCTGTATGGAAGAAGACT